AGGCATGCAGTGAAATGCTTTCTTCCAGCCATAGCATAGCCATTGACTCATGAGGACAGCACAGTTAATTATCTACACAAGATTAAGTTTCAAAATCATGGGTTCAAAGGAAGATTTGTTGTCTCAGAGAGAGAGAGAGAGAGAGAGAGAGAGAGAGAGAGAGAGAGAGAGAGAGAGAGAGAGAGAATGATTGATTTTGGGATACCTTAGGAGTGGTGTAGGTGAGATGGCAATGGATTTGTATACTTGTATAAAATTATGGAAGATAACTTTAGAAATCATCTGCATCTATGTATTTAAAAATATAAACAGTCTGAGGGATCTATGTTCAATTCCAAGAATTTTACTGTGAAAATTAGGAAGCAAAATAGTCCTCAAGTAAGAATAGCTATAAAATTTTCCTTAATTTGTACAAAAAATTCAGATTTATTTTAAGTGTAATGAAATACACATATGATTCAAAGAAGTATCAAACCTCAAAAAGCCAAATTATAAATAGAATATCAATAGAAAAACTTAAAGAAGTATATAAAAATATGTATGAAGGATCATTGCTGACTGAAAAACATGGAGAAAGAAAAATGATGGATGATATTTAAGAACCAAAAAATCAAAAGAATGTTCTATGTTCTGAGAATATCTCTTTAAGAAGAAGAGGGAAATAAACACATTATCACATGAAGAAAACCAAAACATATCTATAGCCAATTACCTGCACTACACAAAAGGGTACTGGATAAAATATTGCAGGATAAAATATAAAAGCAACAGAATCTTGGATGAAAATTGGTAGGTAATTTTATTTTAAAAGAATTAGGTCTCATTTGCAATGGTGTCTTAAGGTATTGGGGAGATTTCTCGTGTACAATACTGAACATTTGCCATGGCTGAAATCAAGCAAGCAGGGGCAAGAGAACATTTCCCTACTGGTCATTCTGTTCTGCTCTGCCCTGAAGACACATCTGGTTCAGCAAAGCCAGCTAGAGTGTTCTCATGATTTACATTACAGGCTAGAAATTACTTTTATACAACACTTCTCCTTAAGGACTGTTGTGTATGATGGGGACCTGCTATGCAGAACCAATTGCTGCATGATCTAAACTATCTTCATCAGACACACCTTGGTTACCCGAGTTCAATTTCAACAGTGACACATTAGAATATTGACTCTAATGTGTTTTATATAAAAGTCAGAAAGGTGGCGATCCTTTCAGCTAGATTCCATCCTGTTTTTATAGTAGGAAAGGTTTTTTCAATGCTTAACATTCTATATAATAGCTAAATTGCTGATTTTCAGTGAATCCAGTAGTGGAATGGGAACAAAAATAGAAAAATTAGAAAAACAAACCAGAAAAGCAAACAAGTATATTAATAAACATGGGTGTAACTCAATAACAGAACAACTGTCTAGTATTTTAAAGACTACACACATGATCGATCTCTCTCCTCTCTCTCTCTCTCTCTCTCTCTCTCTCTCTCTCTCTCTCTCTCTCTCACACACACACACACACACACACACACACACACACACAC